AAAGACAGTTAAGAAAGAGCTAAAAAAAATGTGACCCCCCTTAAAGACATTTATAAAAGAGCTAAGATAAATGTTACTCCCCCTTAAAGACGGTTAAGAAAGAGCTAAGATAATTGTGACCTCCCCCCGCCTAAAGACAGTTAAGAAAGAGCTAAGACAATTGTGACACCCCCTCCCCTTAAATCTTAGGGCAGCAAAGAGAGGAGGGACATGAAGGTTTTCTCCAGCTGTCTGTTCCAGTACAGGAGGTCCTACATGAAAGTGCTCTCCAACAGCAGTGGCAGCAGCAGCAGCACTGGTGTCTAGGAGCTGTCCATTTCAGCACCACGTCCTCCTTCCCCGGCAGAGGAGCAGCACCGCGCACCGCTGTAGCATCACTTCCATGCAGCAGCAGCGGAGGAAGCCCATCTACCAGCCCACCCGACACAGCGCGCCTGCCTCCCTCCCCGGACATCCAAGCGGGGGCCTCGCAGTACTGATCTTCAGCTCCACCACCATGGATTGCAAAAGCCGCAGTCCGTCTCCAGCCAAACCTTACAGCATCCAGAGGATACTTGTGGTGTAATCAACAGTAGGGGAGGAATCCCACACTTCAACAGACACACACACACCAGACACCAGAAGAGGGGAGAAGAAAAAGATCTGCCAAGAGCAGAAAAAAAAAAACACAAGGGAAAAAAAAGCCTGTTTTTTTTTTTGTCCTTTTTACATGGCGCAGGCTGCAGAGCAAAATCAGGAAAGCAGACCGTGCATCCCTAACCCTAAAGCCTCCCCTAGCCTTGGTCCTGATGCTGACGGCTGGTGATGAAAAGACTGCATTTTTATTCTTGCCGACAAGAGATTCCCAATTAGCCATCACTTATGGAAACTGAAGATCAGAATTTTAGAAAAAGGGATTAAGAGAGATTATAGCATCTCTGTCTGTTAGCTGCTGCTGCTGCTACCCTGTGTGTTGTGAGTCGTTCTGCACTATTTTCATCTTTTTTTTTTTCTCCCCCCTGCAAACCTGCATTTGGACATGATCTGATGGACAACGAGCTCTCCATCCACAAACCTTCCAGGTTTACTTTTGCTATTTTTCTATTAGGATACCTCATCTTTTTGGGCACTGAAGCATTTTGGGTCTGTTTGATAGAGGTGTTCAGATGCTCTTAACCACTGTGGGAGCATTCGCTGCATTCAGTTTAATGACAATTGCTGTGGGCACAGACTACTGGTTATACTCCAGAGGGGTCTGCAAGAGCAAATCTATAAGTGAAAATGAAACCAGCAAAAAGAATGAAGAAGTCATGACCCATTCTGGATTGTGGAGAACATGTTGCCTTGAAGGTATTTTGGTGACTGGCTAAAAAGCCTTTTCTTATGTTACATTTTTTTTCACCCTCCTCCTCAGCATCCCTGCCCCCCC